TAACGATTCATCAACTAAAAGTGCATCTCACAAACTGTCCTTAGACCCGGGTTACGATGACCTTTGGCAAGCGACCTGTCTAATTTCATCGATGCTCTAGGACAAGTAAGTGTATCGTTCATTCATTCACAGAGGCGCGTCCGCGTGTTTATCGATCGCTCGGAACTGACATCTCATTCCACTCACCCGCTTACCAGTCAATCGCGATTATCGTTTACCCGTTTGCACGTCAGTGCGACAGAGCCCATCGATAGACCGAATGACCGTGGCTTTGGTGACCACTGTAGCTGAAGTGACCACATTTCAGTTCAGTGTCTCACAGAATTACAAAATACGCTGCAGATTATAAAGATGCATTTTTCGCAAAATCGTAAATCGTCGTTTGTCTCAGCTTGGCTCTCCGTTGGAAATCAACAAACGCGCTGTTTAAATCAATTGTACGCTCCAATAATCGACCCGAACTCAGAGCATTAACCGAGGCAAACAGCTTCAATTGATCCAATAACTTCTGCACCTCTCTGATTGAGATAACTTCCGGTGCATCCACTGCCTCACATTCACCGTCGTTGCGATGCTCAACCTGATTCGAAACGAATTCATCTAATGACTAAAAAGAGACTTGATACAAAAATTTCAAATAACCCACTTCTTCATTATCAAATTCTAAACTGGCAATTTCTTCTTCAAAAAGACGGTCACCAATAGAAACGGAATGAGTAAAGTCCTCGATCAGATCGCATTTATCCTCTGGTGGCTGCATCACCGGCTGAATCAATGTGGATTTGAACCCTGCTTTCATGAAAGCGTTGAAAATATCACAGTCAGCATATCCATGTTATCAACTGCGGTAACCCCGCTCGAAACTGGTTCACTGCATCACGTGGAACCACTAAAATTTCCCCACAGACCTATAAGGTAAGGCACATGAGTTGTTTGTTTCTTGCTTTGAACACCATATCTGTCTGGCCAAGAGCGAAACCAACCTTTGGAAGCCTTGAAGTCATTATGATGCAATCTTTGTGCTAGCTTGATTGCCTTCTTACGTACGATGCTCTCCACCATGGGGAACTCTTCATGCTTTTCCCTCATAGCGGTAAACCAAGCCAAAGTTGCCTCATTCACTGCCTTGAACTTTTCGTTGGTTTTCAGGTGGCATCTTCCCTCAGATGCTCCAGCGTTCAAAAATTCACCGATAGTCGTTCCATGAGATACAAAATTGTAGACAGTCTTTTGTGAAATTCCAAGTGACTTGTCTACGGAGCTCTGAGTTGCACCTAGCTGTTTCATCATTTCCAATACATTCTGCTTCTCTCTGATCAATAGGCGCTTGCACATTTTGACGTCAAATGACACTGTCCACTATCCGTTGCATCGGTGTGACTTCCTCGCTAGGATTATCCAATCAGTGAGCAGTGCCATGAACGCGTCACACTAGGTGCAACGCCATTGGTTGTGTGCGACATTTCAGGGTGGATGGTCAATGGTCATCCCGAACATCGATCAACGACCAAGTGAGTACGTATCAGGAACTGTGACATATTGGGTGGGGGGGTGAGATGCGACATCGCGTGGTCAGAAACTACGTTGTTAGGCATACGATTGGTTTGGATTTTCAAAAGAGTGGGAAGATATTGTAAAAAAATGCAACTTTTCAGGGGTGCGATATAGCGGAAGGTTGACTGTATATAGCACATTAAGTAGGTAAGTCCCAGTACGCTAACGTGTACAAATTAACAGGGGTTCTAAACCAAAGGTCATCTGAACCGGGTGGGTGAACGGAGTAGGTCAATAGCTTTTAGACGCACAAAATGAGATGATCCAATAATGCCCTACCAAATGCCCAAGTTTTGCATTGTGATTAAGTAATGGTGGTTTGAGAGGAGAAATCGGATCGATCAGATTCGATCCCTGGAAGGTGTTTGGCCGTAAATCACCCTGAGTGCCTTGTGACCGTCTGGTTGACTAGTTTTGATTACGTCATCGACTTCGTCAACCTCTTCGAAATGTGTTCAACCTTTCGTTGTGATAGTTGACGGTCTGTTTTACTTATGGATGCGTCACCGCAACTGCAGAGGAACTGGTATACAGTGTGTCGGATATGAATGGCTTAACAACCATATTTAGGTTGATTCAAAAAAAATTCGGAGAGTAGGCGGAACAAATCCAAGCTGAGCATATGGGAATGTGCGATTTGGATTTGGCTGTTTACCGCGAATATCACCGTTACGTAATCATGTTTTCCTGAAGAGTTGTCCTTTCTGTCCTAGTGTATCTGGTGTACAGTTAGATGAACAAATAAGCCACGGTCAACAAGTTGACAAATTCCAGATACTGATCATTTCATGTTGCTTTTGGATAAACACGTTTTATGTACCATTCAAGCACCGTGTAATTTAATATCAAAAAATGCTGTGGAATTATCGCTTTTTTCAATCATGAGACACAAAATGATGCGGATGGACAGAGTTGAAATCGTTCAAGGTGGAGTTCAAATGTTTAAGTGTCATTCATATATACCGTCCGTACAAGTTGGAATTGGCAATAAATATTGACGGCAAATTTTCCTCCGTGATCCCCCAGAAATACAACGCTCATTTATTAGGATTTACCATTTCAAAGTACGGTATATGTATTTGTGTCCATTTGTTTTACGTCTGCGACGCAGGTGGTTGAATGAAATGTTAACACTTGGTAATCTACCTACCTTCGATCTTGAAGCGATAAATAAAGGGGACCTCAGTGTCTTAGATTTATTTTTCTTTAGTTTACTCTTTTGAGTATAGTAGGCTCTTGATCACAGCGGTCCTCCGCCCCCGGTCGTTGACGCAAATTCGCCAGGGATGTATGCTCCATTTTCCTCGCCTCACAGTTAGTGTTCAATATCGGCATGCCATGCATGAAATTTCGGGAGTTTGTTTTACACTCACTTGGACCAGTAGAGATACGTAACAGACTATCATGTCAGCCTGGTGATCCAGTTGCTTTGGTCGATCAGTCATGTGTACGTTAGGTGGCCGATTCATCATTTTAAACTCGTTTGGCGTCTGGCGTCCGCGTGATCACACTCGGTGGATTTGGGTGGTTGAGGCACGGTACCAAGTTGCATGCGCTAGGTGCCAATCACAATTTACTGCAAGTTACTGTACCGCCGAGGGATGAGATGTAAAACCGATTGATTATCCGCAAGAAAAAGCGTTCTTCAGTTCTTCGTAGCAAGATCTCTGATCTCCAACAAGTTCGAGTATGCGTGGTATTAGTCAGGGTTTATGCAATCTTTTTGTAACATTTGTTATTCAGACCAGCAGATGGCACAGGCAGAGTGCAAGCCCGTGAAACAGAGATTCAGTTGCACTGGTTACACACTGCGAGTTTTACGAACTCGAAAGTTATATGGGGTTCACCTGTTCCATAAGTGTACCTTGTATATGCGCTAACGGGTTCGGATTGCTGGGAGGGCGTTCGCTCTGGCTCACATCACCATTTCTGAAATGCAGTCCAACAGGAACGTGAACAGCCTCTATGGTGCTTCTTGGGCTGACCAGTTAGACTAGCCAAGTTTATTTGTGTGAAAATAACCTATTGAGTAGTTTGATCACTTATCCAGGTGTGTGGGCGGGTTGTGGGTACTAAACCGTCCCTCGCCAAAACTGTTCTGCTTCAAACATCCTCAGGTTTGAATAAATGGGTTCAGCTTTTCCGCTAACGAAAGGTGCATTTCTATCATCCTGGTATTTATCGGTATATAATTCTGTGGCGTTATAACAACAAAGGAGATAAAATTTTTGACATGTATAATGTTTAAGATCTGTAAGGGATTGCCTTACTAAGTGATATCGGTTTTCTTAGACTGAAATGTAGAAGAAGCTAAGGCCAGGTTACTCAATCAATGGAATGGAACTTGAGTCCATAGCGAGTTGAGCCTCAGCAGTTATCCTCTAAGAGATGGTTATCTATTTAATTTTTTGAAAACGATAATCCAAAACGTACATATCTTCACTCCGATTAACTTAATCGATGATAAATAAGGTCTGCCTATAGGCTTATTATGCATCAGGTTTTGCCTTATTTTCAATATCACGGCGACTGGTGTTTCACACACACACACACACACACACACACACACACACACACACACACAC